GTGTCCCCAGGGAGATTGTCCTCACCCTGTCTGTGGTGGGACACGTGTCCCCAAGGAGATTGTCCCCTCCATCAAGACACGCATGTCCCCAAGGAGATTGTCCTCTCCATGAGGACATGAGTGTCCCCAAGGAGATTGTCCCCTCTATCAGGACATGAGTGTCCCCAAGGGGGTTGTCCCCTCCATCAGGACATGAGTGTCCCCAAGGGGATTGTCCCCTCCATCAGGACACACGTGTCCCCAAGGAGATTGTCCCCCCATCTTCAGTGAGACGCGAGTGTCCCCAAGGAGATTGTCCCTCTGTTTCCAGTGGGACATCCATGTCCCCAAGGAGATTGTCCCTCCATTTCCAGTAGGACGTGCATGTCCCCAAAGGAGATCATCATCCTCTGTCTGTGGTGTGACACCCGTGTCCCCATGGAGATCACCCCTCCACCTCCAATGTCCCCAGGCAGGTTGTCCCTCCCGTCTGTGGTGTGACACCCGTGTCCCCATGGAGATCATCCCTCCATCTCCGGTGGGAGAGGGGCTTTGCCTCGGGAAAACGGGGCAGTCCAAGAGGTTTTGGGGACACCGGGTGGCAATGGGGACACCGGGTGGCAATGGGGACACTGGGTGGCAATGGGGACAACCTGGGGACCGTGCCAGCCGCCCCTTGTCACCTCGAGGTCCCCCAGTCCCGCGGTGACGCCGTTTCCTCTCCTGTGAGCACCTTTGGGGCCAAACGGCCGCGTTTTGGGGCCCGTGGGGTCACGGGGCTGACGGCGGCGACCTTCGTCCCCCAGCTCATCCTCTTCGGGCTCAGCAACCAGATGGTGGTGGCCTTCAAGGAGGAGAACACGGTGGCCTTCAAGCACCTCTTCCTCAAGGACTACGTGGACGGCGCCGACGACTCCTACGCCGTCTACACCCAGCGCGGCCTCTACGAGCGCGTCTTCTACGCCCTGGATAAGGTGAGACGGGGGGTTTGGGGACGTGGAGGTGGCTCGGGGCCACCTCCAGCTCCTGAGGGCATCCCTGCTCCGCTGTTTGGCCGTTCCCTGCTCCTGCACTTGGCCATTCCCAAGAAATCCCCTACGAGTGGGAATGTGGGGCTGGTGTGGGGCCATGGGGCTGGTGTGGGGCCGTGGAGGTCCTTGGGGCCACAGAGGTGCCTCAGGAACATGGAGGTGGCTTGGGGCCACCTCTGGCCCCTTGTCCCGCAGTCCTTGGCCATCCCCAACAAGACCATGGGCTGCTACAGCTACGAGTGGGGACACGGGGGTGATTTGGGGCCATGGGGATGGTTTGGGGACACAGGGGTGGTTTGGGGCCATGTCCAGCCCTTGAGGGCCCTTGTCCTGCAGTCCTTGGCCATCCCCAACGAGACCATGGGCTGTTACAGCTACGAGTGGGGACACGGGGGTGATTTGGGGCCATGGGGATGGTTTGGGGCCGTGGGGATGGTTTGGGGTCAGAGGGGTGGTTTGGGGCCATGGAGGTGTCTCAGGACCCCCTTATCCCACAGTACCTGTCCCTGCCCGGGGAGGCCCTGGGCCGTTACGCGTACGTGCGGGACCATGGGGATGCTGTGGGGTCATGGGGGTGGTTTGGGGCCATGGAGGTGTCTCAGAGCCTCCTTGTCCCACAGTACCTGGACACGGAGGTGGTGTGGGGTCAGAGGGGATGGTTTGGGGCCATGGGGTTGATTTGTGGTCACAGGGATGGTTTGGGGCCATGGGGGTGGTTTGGGGTCAGAGGGATGATTTGGGGCCATGGAGGTGTCTCAGTGCCCCCGTGTCCCGCAGTACCTGTCCCTCCCTGGCGAGGCCCTGGGCCGCTACGCGTACGTGTGGGGCCATGGGGATGGTGTGGGATCAGAGAGGTGGTGTGGGACCATGGGGATGATTTGGGGCCATGGAGGTGTCTCAGTGCCCCCTTGTCCCGCAGTACCTGTCCCTGCCTGGTGAGGCCCTGGGCCGCTACGCATTCATGCGGGGCCATGGGGATGATTTGGGGCCATGGGGATGATTTGGGGCCATGGAGGCGTCTCAGTGCCCCCTGTGTCCCACAGTACCTGTCCCTGCCCGGGGAGGCCCTGGGCCGCTACGCATTCATGCGGGGCCATTGGGGTGGTTTGGGGTCAGAGGGGTGGTTTGGGGCCATGTCCAGCCCCTGAGGGCCCCCCTGTGTCCCACAGTACCTGTCCCTGCCCAGGGAGGCCCTGGGCCGTTACGCGTACGTGCGGGGCGGTGCCGGGAACGGCTCCGCGCTCCTGCTGTGCCAGCGCTACTTCCGCAAGGGACGCATCGACCCCGCCAACGACACCTTCAACATCGACCCCCACATCGTCACAGGTGGGGCCACAGACCACCCCTAAAGCCACCACGGGGTCCTGGGGCCCACAGCTCAACCCCAAAGTTGCCGCGGGGTCCCAGGGTCCACAGCTCAACCCCAAAGCCACTGTGGGGTCCCAGGGTCCACAGCTCACCCCAAAACCACCACGGGGTCCTGGGGCCCACAGCTCACCCCAAATCCACTGTGGGGTCCTGGGGCCCACAGCTCACCCCCAAATTCACTGTGGGGTCCTGGGGCCCACAGCTCACCCCAAATCCACTGTGGGGTCCTGAGGGGGTTTGGGGCATCACTGCAGGCTGGGGAGGGGCTGAAGGGCGTGGGGGGTCTTGAGATGCCCTGGAAGTGCTTGGGATTCCCTAAAAATGCTTGGGATACCCTGGAAGTGCTTGGGATGCCCTGGAAGTTATTGGGATTTCTTTGAAGTTCTTGGGATTTCCTAAAGTGCTTGGGATGCCCTGGAAGTGCTTGGGATGCCCCAAAAATGCTTGGGATTCCCTGGAAGTGCTTGAGATGCCCTGGAAGTGCTTGGGATGCCCTAAAAATGCTTGGGATGCCCTGGAAGTGCTTGGGATTTCCTGGAATTGCTTGGGATTCCCAGAAGGTGCTTCTCCATCCCCCAGATTGCCTGGGAGTGGATCCCGAGGATCCCCAGCCCCCGGCTCTGGACGGCTCCTACAGGAACTTCACCCTCAAATTCCACAAGTAAATCCCCCCCCACTTCCCAAAATCCCTGGGCCAGGGCTTGGGTCCCTTCCCCAAAACCTGGTGCCAGGGTTTGGTTTCCCTTCCCTAAAACCTGGGGGTTGTGTTCCCTTCCCAAATCCCCGTGTTGGGATTTGTTTTCCCTTCCCAAAACCCTTCCCCAGGGATTGTTTTCCCGTCCCCAAATCCCTGTTGTGTTCCCTCCCTAAATCCCCGTGTTGGGATTTGTGTTCCCTTCCCAAATCCCTGTTTTGGGATTTGTTTTCCCTTCCCACAACCCCACGATTCCCATGGCATTCCTCAACCCATGGCCCAACCCCTGGAGCTCCAGGCACCGCTTTTCCAAAGGATCCAACCTCCCCTTGCTCCAGGCACCGCTTTTCCAGAGGATCCATCCAACCTCCCCTCGGAGCCGGGGAGGGTCGGGCGGGAGAAGCAGGAACACCTTTCCCCGGGGCTGGAATCCCCCCAGAGGGAGGGGTTTCCCCTCTCTGGGGGGTCGTGGGGCCGTTCTTTGGGATCTGGGGGGGTGTGAGACCCCTTGGAAAAGTCCGGGATGAGGATTAAGGATCGTCCCCTTCCCTCAGGCTCATCAACGTCACCATCCGGTTCCAGCTGAAGGCCATCAACGTGCAGCCCGTGCTCAACAACGACATCCCCGACTGCTACACCTTCACTGTCACCGTCAGTGCCACCAGGGGGGTTGGCTGGCACCCGCGGGTGGCCCCTGAGTGTCCTCTATCCCCTTGGGTGTCCCTCTGTCCCTTTTGTGTCCTCTGTCTCCCTCAGGTGTCCTCTGTCCCTCTTGTGTCCTCTGTCCCTCTTGTGTCCCTCTGTCCACCTTGTGTCCTCTGTCTCCCTCAGGTGTCCTCTGTCCCTCTTGTGTCCCTCTGTCCCTCTTGTGTCCTCTGTCCCCCTTGGGTGTCCCTCTGTCCACCTTGTGTCCTCTGTCCCCCTCAGGTGTCCTCTTCCCCTTCGGGTGTCCCCCTTGTGCGTCCCCCTCAGGTGGCCCTTGTGTTCCCCTCGGGTGGCCCTTGGGTGGCCCTTGTCCCTCTTGTGTCCTCTGTCCCCCTCGGGTGTCCCTCTGTCCCCTTTGTGTTCTCTGTCCCTCTTGTGTGTCCCTTGTGTGTCCCCCTCGTGTGTCCCTCGTGTGTCCTCTGTCCCCCTCATGTGTCCCTCTGTCCCTCGTGTGTCCTCTGTCCCCCTGATCTGTCCCTCTGTCCCTCTTGTGTCCTCTGTCCCCCTCATGTGTCCCTCTGTCCCTCTTGTGTGTCCCTTGGGTGGCCCCCTTGGGTGTCCCTCTATCCCTCTCGTGTCCTCTGTCCCCCTCGAGTGTCCCTCTGTCCCTCATATGTCCCTCTGTCCTCTTTGTGTCCTCTGTCCCTCTTGTGTGTCCCTTGCGTGTCCTCCTCAGGTGTCCCCCTTGTGTCCCTCATGTGACCCTTGGGTGGCCCTTGGGTGGCCCCCTCGGGTGTCCCTCTGTTCCTCTTGTGTCCTCTGTCCCTCTTGTGTCCTCTGTCCCTCTTGTGTGGCCCTCAGGTGGCCCCCTCGTGTGTCCCTCTGTCCCTCACGTGTCCCTCTATCCCTCATGTCCCTTGTGTGTCCCTCTGTCCCTCACATGTCCCTCTGTCCCTCATGTCCCTTGGGTCCCTCTGTCCCTCACATGTCCCTCTGTCCCTCACGTCCCTCATGTGTCCCTCTGTCCCTCACATGTCCCTCTGTCCCTCACGTGTCCCTCTGTCCCTCATGCCCCTGTGTCCCTCGGAGGGACGGCACCAGACCCTACAGGGCTTCTGGGATCTCTCAGGGTGGTCACTGTCCCTTGTCCCCATGTCCCCAGGGTGGTGACTGTCCCCTTGTCCCCGTGTCCTCAGAGTGGTGACTGTCCCTTGTCCCCATGTCCCCAGAGTGGTGACTGTCCCCGTGTCCCCAGGGTGGTGACTGTCCCCTTGTCCCCGTGTCCTCAGAGTGGTGACTGTCCCTTGTCCCTGGGATCTGTCAGGGTGGTGACTGTCCCTTGTCCCTGTGTCCCCAGAGTGGTGACTGTCCCTTGTCCCCGTGTCCCCAGGGTGGTCACTGTCCCCTTGTCCCTTGTCCCCAGGGTGGTGACTGTCCCTTGTCCCCTTGTCCCCAGGGTGGTGACTGTCCCTTGTCCCTGTGTCCCCAGAGTGGTGACTGTCCCTTGTCCCCTTGTCCCCAGATCACGTTTGACAACCGCGCTCACAGCGGGCGGGTTCGGATCCGCCTGGAGAACCACGCGGACATCCGGGAGTGCAGGGACCCCGCTGTCTATGGCAGAGGTGGGACAGGGGTGGCTCCTGTCCCCTGGGGTGGCTCCTGTCCCCAGGGGTGGCTCCTGTCCCCTGGGGTGGCTCCTGTCCCCAGGGGTGGCTCCTGTCCCCTGGGGTGGCTCCTGTCCCCAGGGGTGGCTCCTGTCCCCAGGGAGTGACTCTTGTCCCCAGGGGGTGGCTCCTGTCCCCAGGGGTGACTCCTGTTCCCTGAGAATGGCTCCTGTCCCCAGGGATGACTCCTGTCCCCTGGGGGTGACTCCTGTCCCCAGGGATGACTCCTGTCCCCAGGGGTGGCTCCTGTCCCTGGGAGTGTCTCCTGTCCCCTGGGGTGTCTCCTGTCCCCAGGGATGACTCCTGTCCCCAGTAGTGACTCCTGTCCCCAGGGGTGGCTCCTGTTCCCTGAGAATGGCTCCTGTCCCCAAGGGGTGGCTCCTGTCCCCTGAGAATGACTCCTGTCCCCAGGGGTGACTCCTGTCCCCAAGGGGTGGCTCCTGTCCCCTGAGAATGACTCCTGTCCCCTGAGAATGGCTCCTGTCCCCAAGGGGTGACTCCTGTCCCCAGGGGGTGGTTCCTGTCCCCAGGGGTGGCTCCTGTTCCCTGAGAATGGCTCCTGTCCCCAGGGAGTGACTCTTGTCCCCAGGGAGTGACTCTTGTCCCCAGGGGGTGGCTTCTGTCCCCGTGGGTGACTCCTGTCCCCATGGATGACTCCTGTCCCCAGGGGTGTCTCCTGTCCCCTGGGGTGACTCCTGTCCCCAAAGGGTGTCTCCTGTCCCCAGGGGTGGCTCCTGTCCCCAGAGGTGGCTCCTGTCCCCAGGGGTGACTCCTGTCCCTGGGGGGGGTGACAACAGGCCATGGGGGGGCTCAGGGGGTGCCCCAGTTTCCGAGCAGCCCCCCCGGTGTCCCGCAGGTGACAATTCCTTCCGGCTGTTCTTCGACATCGTCGTCATCCTCGTGTGCTCCCTGTCCTTCATCCTCTGCGCCCGCTCCATCATCCGCGGCCTCCTCCTGCAGCTCGTGCGTGGGGATGAGGGGGAGGCTGGGAGAGAGGGAGGAAGAGTGGAAAACTGTGGGAGATGGTGGGAACCAGTGGGAAGTGATGGAAAATGGTGGGATGTGGTGGGAGGCAGTGGGAAGAGGTGGGAAGAGCTAGAGAGTGGTGGGAAGTGATGGGAAGAGTTGGGTAGTGGTGGGAAGAACTGGAAGGTGGTGGGAGGCAGTGGGAAGAGTTGGGAGATGCTGGGAGATGGTGGGAAGTGATGGGAAGAGTTGGAAAGTGGTGGGAAGTGATGGGAGGGATTGGAAAGTGATGGGAAGAGTTGGAAAGTGGTAGGAGGCAGTGGGAAGAGTTGGAGAGTAGTGGGAAGTGATGGGAAGGGTTGGAAAGTGGTGGGAAGTGATGGGAAGAGTTGGAAAGTGGTGGGAAGTGATGGGAGGGATTGGAAAGTGATGGGAAGAGTTGGAAAGTGGTAGGAGGCAGTGGGAAGAGTTGGAGAGTAGTGGGAAGTGATGGGAAGGGTTGGAAAGTGGTGGGAAGTGATGGGAAGAGTTGAAAAGTGGTGGGAAGTGATGGGAAGGGTTGGAAAGTGGTGGGAAGTGATGGGAAGGGTTGGAAAGTGGTGGGAGGTGATGGGAAGAGGTGGGAAGTGATGGGAAGGGTTGGAAAGTGATGAGAAGAGCTGGAGAGTGGTGGGAAGAGGTGGGAAGAGTTGGAAAGTGGTGGGAAGGGCTGGAAAGGGGTGGGAAGTGATGGAAAGGATTGGAAAGTGGTGGGAGGCAGTGGGAGGTGATGGGAAGAGGTGGGAAGCACTGGGAAGCGGTGCCAGCTGCCACCTCCCTCCACCCTGTCCCCGTCGGGGACATCCCCCCAACGCCATTCCCGGGATTCCAGAGGGGCCCTTTTCCCGCTGAGTGGGAGCTGTGGGTGCCGTGACCCTCCCCGGTTGGGTGGGGGGTGACACCCAACCCCGTGTCCGTCCCTCCCTCCCGCAGGAGTTCAGCCGGTTCTTCCATCGGCGGCACGGCCGGAGCGTGTCGGTGTCGGACCGCATGGAATTCCTCAACGGCTGGTACATCCTGCTCGTCGTCAGCGACGTCCTCACCGTGCTGGGAACCCTCATGAAGATCGGCATCGAGGCCAAGGTCTGGGGGGGACGTGGGGCTGCTGCCACCGCTGTCACCTGTGCTCCAGGAGGGGACATTGTCACCCCTGGGTGTTGGGAGTACCCTGGTGACATCCTGGATGTCATCAGAGCCCTCCAGGAGAGAATATTGTCACCCCACAGTCACCCCTGGGTGTTGGCAGTGCCCTGGTGACGATGTCTTGGATGTCCCCTGTGCCCTGGGAGGGGACATTGCCACCCCTGGGTGTTAGCAGTGCCCTGGTGACAATGTCCTGGATGTCCCCTGTGCCCTGGGAGGGGACATTGCCACCCCTGGGTGTTGGCAGTGCCCCGGTGACAATGTCCTGGATGTCCCCTGTGCTCCAGGAGGGGACATTGCCACTCCACAGCCACCCCTGGATGTTGTCACTACACTGGTGACAATGTCCTGGATGTCCCCTGTGCCCTGGGAGGGGACATTGCCACCCAACAGCCACCCCTGGGTGTGTCCCCTGTGCCCTGGGAGGGGACATTGCCACCCATCAGCCACCCCTGGGTGTTGTCACCATCCCAGTGACATCCTGGATGTCATCAGAGCCCTCCAAGAGGGGACATTGTCACCCAAGAGCCACCCCTGGGTGTTGTCACCACACTGGTGACAATGTCCTGGATGTCATCAGAGCCCTCCAGGAGGGAACATTGTCACCCCACAGCCACCCCTGGGTGTTGTCACCACACTGGTGACAATGTCCTGGATGTCATCAGAGCCCTCCAGAAGGGAACATTGTCACCCCACAGCCACCCCTGGGTGTTGTCACCACACTGGTGACAATGTCCTGGATGTCCTCTGTGCTCCAGGAGGGGACAGTCACCCCACAGCCACCCCTGGGCATTGTCACCACCCCGGTGACAATGTCCTGGCTGTCCCTGGTGTCCCACTGGTGTCCCCCATCTCCCCAAGTTGTCCCCAGTGTCACCCCGGAGTCCCTTTGGGGTGGCAGCTCCTGGGGTGTGGTGGCACCAGGATTTCCCTCTGGGGGGCTGGTCAGCCTCGGGGACATCGTCCAGGTGCCAGTGTCCCCAGTGTCCCCATGTCCCCCGTGTCCCCACAGAACTTCTCTGGGTACGACGTGTGCAGCATCCTGCTGGGGACCTCCACGCTGCTCGTCTGGGTCGGGGTCATCCGATACCTCACCTTCTTCCAGAAGTACAACGTGAGTCACAGGGGTGTCACCCCCAGGGGACAGTGCCAGCGGACAGTGCCACCCGCCAGGGGACAGTGCCAGGGCTGGGGATGGCCTGGCAAGAGCTCAGGGTTGTCCCATGGCCGCTGCCTTTGTCCCCAGGGTCACAAGGGGGGACCTTGGGGTGTCACAGGTCCTCATCCTTGGGGTGTCACAGTCCCTGTCCCCTGATCCTGGGGTCTCACAGGTCCCTGTCCCCTCACCTTGGGGTGTCACAGTCCCTTTCCCCTGTCCCTGGGGTCTCACAGTCCCTGTCCCCTGACTTTGGGGTCTCACAGCTCCCCATCCTTGGGGTGTTGGAGTCCCTGTCCTCTCACCTTGGGGTCTCAGGGTCCCTGTCCCCTGATCCTGGGGTCTCACAGGTCCCCATTCTTGGGGTGTCACAGTCCCTGTCCCCTGTCCCTGGGGTCTCCCAGGTCCCCATCCTCACCTTGGGGTCTCAGGATCCCTGTCCCCTGTCCCTGGGGTCTCAGAGTCCCCATCCTTGGGGTGTCACAGTCCCTGTTCTGTCACCTTGGGGTCTCACAGGTCCCCATCCTTCCTCCCAGATCCTCATTGTCATACTCCGGGTGGCCCTTCCTCCCCAGATCCTCATCACCCCCCTGCCCTTCCTCCCAGATCCTCATCAT